TCAACTATTATACTGATTCAGAGAATAATATCACATATTATTTTCATGTCTGCTTATAGTGTTGGATATTTTCGTTTCGTAACAGTAAGTAGGCTTACTTATATTTTAGTTAAATACTTTGCTGTAATTTAACTAAATTTTGTAGAAAATATTTCTTTTTAATTTTAAGATCCAATCACTTATTGTTCGTTTTAAACTTGATCACGAGATAGTTTCCGATCTTGATGAAATGAACATTTTAAAAAAGTATACTAATAGAAGCAAATTTTTTGTGTATGCCTTAATGTGTAAGTTAGAGTAATTATTAGCTATTAGTTTACAATTTATTATATTTTTTACCTATACGTTTCTTTTACTTTTTCAGTTTTCTTTGATGTTAACTGCTTCTTAATTGTTTTCCCACCAGTTTTAAATGCTTTTTTATATTCTATTGGTATATTGGAAGGTAATCAATTAACATTACCATTAATCGAAAATAATATTGATCACGTTGGGATGATGTATTTTAGCATGCTTATTGGCCAATCAGTAGCAATAGTAATGGCAGTAGTAGTTGGCAGTATTAGTCTTTCAACATTTTTGGTTTTCATACAGCACGCCTGCTGTCAATGTAGCATTATTAGGTGCGTTTCCAATTTTTATTTACTTAAGTTATTATTATGCATCCAACTGTTATGCTAAAATGTTCTTCTTTTTTTTTTTGAAACAGATTAAAAATTTGTCAACCTTTTGAAAAAAATACTAAGTATTTTATTTCACTTACGGAGGAATACATTTGGATAAGCGATATTATTAATCGACATAGAATATCTATTGAGTAAGTATTCAATTGAATAATATTATTTTTGTTTAGATAATACTAAAATTTAATAATTCGTTTTTTTTTTTAAGGTATACTAAGATGCTGAGATATATTTCAAACGTCTCTTATTTCATTATAATGCTTTTAGCAATGATTGTCATCGTATTTAATTTTTTATGTGTAAGTAAAACCACCATAAATATCAGTGAATTCTTGTATGTAATTTATCAATTGCTATGTCGTGTTCATAAAGATTGTTTAAGATCCATTATTCATTTGATCTTGCGAATATTGGCGAGTATTGTATAGTACAATTTAGTCTAGGACAATATTTTTATCTTCTTGTATTAAAATTTCATTTCAATATAAAGCTAATGAAATTAAAAATATTTGAGAGAGTATTTTGTTCCATGAACGTTTAAAAATGTTGAAAGAAAAGCTTTTTACAATGAGAATGAATTTTTTTTATTTATTTCAGATTCTTGAATTCTCTGTATTAATAAAATCTTTAAGAGACAAAATAGAGTGCATCATTTATGTTGTTGGTTCGGTATTTACGTTGTATATCAATTTTTATCTTGGACAAACTTTGTTGAATCATAGCAATGCAGTTTTTGAAGAGTTGTAAGAAAGTAATAAGTATTATTTAATAAACAATTATAAGAGTTACACCATATTGATCAGAAAGAATATTACACGAAACCATTTTAATAAAATTTTACATATTTCTTTTCAATTATTTTTCTGTTTATTGTTTAAAAGCAAGCTTGTATATGAATAACCAAAAAGCATTTCTGTTTATAGATGTAACGTGCCGTTTCATATGCTATCTATACATTCCCAAAAACTGTTATTATTTATGATAGCAAGAAGTGGAAAGCCCAGTTTTTTATCAATTGGAAACATGTTTGTCTCATCTCATGAAGTTTTTGCTGGGGTAAGTTTTGAGGTTTTAATTATAATCAAATTAATTGTTATATTATTATAATATGAATATTTTGTAGATCATGCGGAAAGCACTTTCTTTTGCTACGCTATATTACAATATACAATAAGTAGAAGGTTTTCGAAAATGGCAAATTAAAATATGTAAAAAAATGAAAAATGATTTATCACTTTATTAAGATGTACTTACTTACTTTTTATTTTACTAAAATAAAAAATTGTTTTCTTTTTAATCTGAAAAAATACTCACATGTTTTTAGTATAAAACAATAAAACATTTATTAGAATGTATTTTTGTGAAATTCAATAATATTATACTAAATGCAATAGGAAATTGATTTCTTTTCTTAATACTAGTGTTCTTCACGACAGTCGAAGTGCAACTGACCGAGATTGCAATCCTTAAACCCTTCTGCGCATGTTCTGGGATATAGAAAGTAAAAGGTATTTTTTCCCTTTATTTAATTATGGGAATGACCATCTGTTTCAATACATGTGAACAGGTATATCTCAATAGAAAACATTGTACATAGAGTAGCTATAAGATAAGAGGATATTATTTTACCAGTAATTATATTGAATAATTTATAGTACCTCAATCATTACACTGATTGTGTTAACTTTACACTATTCGTAATAGATAGCAATTTGAATTAGTTAGGGG